GGTATGGGTAGAGTAGTTTATTTTTCCTGTAATACTTCATTATTTTTTTTTAAAACAAAGCTAATTGAAAGGGGCGCTGAGCGGAAATACAACCTGGGGATACAAACAATTTCTTTTTTTTCTGCTGCCCCCTCCAGCAGATGGCGCTCTAGGTGACCACCTAGTTCGCCTATGCCTAAAGCCGGCTCTGCTCGTGGTGATGAATCAAATGCAGAGCACAGATTTCATCATAGGAATATGCACTGATGACAAATAAAGTAAATTTGCATTTTTATTGACATTTAAATGTGTGACTCTGACAGGGAGACTCGGGAGGCCCGTTGGTTTGCCAGGATACTGCAGGTGCTTCCTGGGAGATTCATGGGATAACCAGCTTTGGCCCTATTGGATGCATTATGGATAAAAAGCCCTCTGTGTTCACCCGTACCTCTGCCTACCTCCCCTGGATCTCAAATGTGATCCGTAGGGACATCTACAATCAGCAAAGTATGAATCTGGCTGCCTAAAACGATCCACTTTGTTCGTAAGTTCGTAAGTTCATGATGTGACACCATGAGTGTTCCTCTGTGTAGCATCGGGTTGTGGAGGACCAAAGGTCTTGACCGGCACTGGTGGCACCATTTCCTCCATGGGTTATCCTGGCACCTACAGCAACAAAGCCCGCTGCCAGTGGACCATCGAGGTGCCTGCGGGAAAGCTGGTCTACCTTCAGTTCAACAGTTTCTCGCTGGAGGAGAGTCAGCTGTGTGTGAACGACAAGGTCAGCCTCACGGACAACGTGGGAAGTCTGGGTGTGTATCTTTCACCTTTAAATTGTATGTATTTATTTATTTATTTATTTTTTATTTTTTTATGTTTTGCATTGAATCATAAATTTAAAGTTTGCAACTGATTTACAATTTAATTTTATTTAATTTAAGTTCAAACAATGCAGTCCACATGTATGAGTTTGATAGGTGATGTAGCCTATACTATACCTCCTAACTGTGTCAGAAATACTCTTTGAATAAAAATCTAATGTGTATATTAAGAATAAAGAGTACTAAAAACGTCTCTTTGTGCTTCATCAGGCACCTACTGCAGTCACACTCCACCAAACGATGTGGTCAGTGATGGAGATACACTTCACATCGGCTTCTCCTCCAATGACAAGGTGGTGGACACAGGCTTCAGCGCCACCTGGAAGGCGGTGGACCCTGCACAAGGTTGAGCCAGAAAACAAATAAACAAGCCCCATACAACAAGTCTAATCTTCAGCTTCGTAAACCATTTATTTTTCCTTCTGTCTCCCCTTGCTCCACTGCAGCTCCCTGTGGGGGAAGTTTCAGCACTAATTTGGGTGAAATCACCTCTCCAAACTGGCCTGAGAACTACCAAGCCCAGACTGTGTGCACATGGCGTATCAGCGTTCCTTCCTCAGGAAGTCTTCATGTCGTCTTCACTCACTTTGAGCTGCAAGCTAAAGTGTTGGGAAAATGTGTGGATTACGTGGAGATCTTCGATGGGGAAGGCATGTCCCTATTTGGTGAGTAAATATTCTTCTTTGTATGTTTCCTGTGTCACACTCATATTACAGAAAGAAAAACGTCACTTTTTGCCTGTTCTTTAGGTCACTTCTGTGGCCTCTCCGTCCCGCCTGCCTTCACTGTTCCAAGCAACAAAGTCGTGATCCGCTTTCTGAGTAACGGAGCTAATCAACAGAAGGGTTTTCGTGGATACTGGACCTCTGATGCCAGTGTTGTCCCAACTTTACCACCTCCTTCTCCAAACCCATGAGGCAACGTCACTATTGGTGATTACATAGTGACAGCACATCAACAGTCTTAAAGCAATGCTGTGTCATCTGAGTTTTTCTAAATTTATTGCATATTTTACCAATTATTGAAACATTAATATACTATGTCAGAGTCCTTAGTCGTTCAGTTGTATTCTTGTCCAGTCAGTGCCGTCATGAAAAAATGGCCTCTGCTTTCATTGCAGACCTATTTGAACAAAACTACGCCACTCTTTGTTATAATGAGCAACCATGCAAGCAGAGAGCAGTTTTTATAAAAGCACTAACAAAACAATGAGATTTTCGTCTGGATTATTCTGTAAACTCTGTCCTTGACAAACTCAAAGGCACAGTTATAACTAATTAAAAGTTTCTGCCACCTCTCGGTGTCTTCCCATGCATCGTTGGATAGCTTTGCTGATTTGCGTGTACGTCTCTCCTGCAGGAACAAATACAACCAGGGAGGTGCACGGCAACGTCATCTTCAATCCTCACGGCTGTTTCAAAGACAAGGACCCCTCAGCTGTTCATTCCAGTATCGGCCTTTGGCGATAGAATAAGCAACATCCAAAATGTATTTATGAAAGCAACATATAAAAACTGAAAAATATAATTTATTTTCCAAAGGTTTGACTTTAATGTTTATTGCAGTTTAACCTGCACAAGTTGTATTTTAACACTCAGCATTCAGTTTTTCTATGTTAAAACTGACCAAGAAAATGATGCTTGGTGATGCTGTTCATGCTGTGTGTTCAGGATTTTCTGGATGCTGTAACAATGCAAACGAGGAGAAACTGTTTATTATGACATTATTAACAACTTTATCATGTCTTCAAATGGTTTTGTATAATTCAACAGTAAGTAGTATAAATGAGGTGAGGTGGAAAAAACAAGTTTATTTTGTGGTTTGTTTGGTTTTTTCAACAGTAACCAACTCGCCCAAAAATTTTAAAATGGATGGAAGGAGGGATGTAAGCTCTGTCCCCCTCTTACAATGTTGTTGTAATGAGTATTACTCAGCCCTCTGCGAACAACTGGCAATAACAAGGGGTTTAATGATCCGTCTTTAGGCTGATGGTCCTTTATTGCATGTGAACAAACAGTATTAATAGTTGAAAAAAATTCATGAATGAAAACAAGTAATAATCTTAGAAATAAATCCACATAAACGTTTTAAAAATAATAATATATCATATTTCAATTCGTGGCAAATTTAGACCAAGTATAAGAAAGTTCTGACCTTGTTAAATTCTTAAAGAAAACTTACTTTGTAGATAGAAACAAAGGGTTTTGCCCAATAATTCTTCTGTTCCGTATTCTGACCAGTAGGTGGCAGTGGTGTTCATTTGACCTGGTTTATCAACCGCCAATAAACTAAAGAAGAAATCTTTTTCCGAGCCTCTCTGTCCACATTAGCGTTTAGCAACATTAGTCATACCTGCAGCTGCAAACAAAAGCAGGACAGAATTCAGCTTCAGCAGCTCAGTAAATGTCGATGAACGGAAGCTAACAGAGGATGAGACAGCAGGACAAAGAGCACCCGGATGCAGAAGAAGAAGAAGAAATGTTGGGAATTTTTAAAAAAAGAGATGCAGCTCTCGAAGAAAATGAACAAGAAAACATTACAGATGATGTTTTCAACCCCAACGACCACTTGAAGATAATAGGTTTGAATCTGTTTTACTATTTCTGTCACTTGTGAATTAGTTGCCATTTATTGTTAGCTAATGCTAATCATGTGTTATTGGGACAGACAGGACTGGTGCATTTGCTTGTGCCCCCTATTTTTTAATGTCTCTTATCTAATTAAAATAAGAGAACAAATTCAAACATATGGTACTTAAAACTAAATGTGTTGACAAGTTTTCGTAATGTGTGTGTTTTAGTGGTTCCTGCAGATGTTCAGATGGTGAAGATTAAAGAAGAAGCTTTTGAGGAAGAGTGGCCTGACGAGGACCTGCAGGACCCAGAGCCCTTCCGCATCAAGGAGGAGGAGGAAATTTGGACCAGTGTGGAGGAAGAGCAGCTTGGTGTGAGGGAGGAGACTGACGCCACCAACTTTTCATCTACTTCAGTTCTCTTGAAGAGTGAGGACGATCAAGATGAACCTCTGTTCTCACAGCGTCATCAACATCAAGTCAGAGATCTTCCAGCCAGCAGCTCAGCAACTGGTGGGGAGTTCAGTGACGGAGCCCCGTATCTGAATTATGATGAAAACTATTCTGACTCTTCAGAAACTGAATTCGGTGAAGATGATGTGAACAATCCTGACTCTCAGCGACAACACTTATCAGACTCTGGGTCAAAACCTGAAGACTGGGAGGAGAGCAGGATGCCCGAGTCGGGCGTAAACGCTGTCAACGACAAAAACGGACAGAAGCTATTTTGTTGTGATCTTTGTGGGCGAGGGTACACCCAGAAAGGAAATTTAAACAGACACATGAAAGTCCACACAGGACAAAAGCCGTTCTGTTGTGGAATTTGTGACCAAAGATTTAGGGAGAAGAGTTGCTTAAACACACACATGAGAATCCACACAGGACAAAAACCATTTAGTTGTGCTCTGTGCGAACGAAGGTTTCACCATAAGGACAATTTAAACACACACATGAGGATCCACACGGGACAGAAGCCGTTTGCTTGTGATCTGTGTGAACGGAGGTTTAGCCAAAAGGGCAGTTTAAACAAACATCTGAAAATCCACACCGGAGAGAAGCCGTTTTCTTGTGATCTGTGTGACCGAAAGTTTACACTTAAAGACACTTTAAACAAACACATGAGGATCCACACAGGAGATAAACCGTTTTCTTGTGATCTGTGTGATCAGAGGTTTACCTTAAAGGGCAGTTTAAKCATACACARGAGAATCCACTRYGGACAAAAGCCATTTTGTTGTGACATTTGTGGACGGAGGTTTAGCCGAAAGGCAGATGCAAAAACACACATGATAGTCCACACGGGACAGAAATCATTTTGCTGTAATCTTTGCGATCGCAAGTTTACCTTAATGGGCAATTTAACTAAACACATGAGGATCCACACAGATCAGAAACCTTTTTCTTGCTATATGTGTGATCGAAGGTTTACCCAAAAGGGCAATTTGACCAAACACATGAGAGTCCACACAGGAGATAAACCATTTTATTGTGATCTTTGTGATCGGAGGTTTACACAAAAGGGGCATTTGAACACACACAAGAGAATCCACACAGCAAACACTGCAGTGGTTTGCAATGACTCCTAGGTGAGAAACCACACGGGAGGAAAAAAAAATCCTCATTTCTTTATTGATTTTGAATGTTTATATACTCTTGTCAAATAAAGAGACAATTCATGAAAAACAGGATGATGTCATGGATTTGGAAACTTTTAATAATTTACTTTGCAATTTTGTAGTTAATTATAGACTCACACTCGGCATGAATTTAATGCTGAATGTACTGTACATAATCCACAGGGTTGCTGTTAAATGTGTGTCCCTTTAAAATGTTACTGATCAGCATTACTCTGGACTTTCTGAAAGCTTGTATTTTGATATCAGCTACCTTTTCACTTATTTAATAAACAACTCTTGTGCAAGCAGGGAACATGTACAACAAAGAGAGATTTCCATCATGGTCCACTTCATTCCTTTGTATTACAAGAAAGGCTCTGAGTAAGACCGCCCCCCCCCCCCCCACACACACACACACACACACACACACACAGCAACTGTAGTAGACTTAGCTCCAAGTTTCAGTTCACTCTCAGTAAAAAAGGGCAACTCTTTCACTTGAATGTGTTCAAATGTTCACCCACAACATCAAGATTACTATTTTAGACTGTATAAGGGAAAATGTGTTTTTGCATTTCAAACACTTGTAATACAATGTTCTTCATAGTTATGCACTGAGTATTCACAAGACACTGTCACATAAGAATAAAAGCAATGAATATGTTTAGAAACTGTTTTCGTGTGGTTTCAAACACTAGTGATTCAGTGGCTTAATTACCTCTTCAAGTTCTACAGATTCATTCATTCAAATCAGGTGTGTTGGAGCAGGGTAAATTATTAATGAAAGAAAAAAATGGGAATATGTCAGAAACATGTTGAATTAAGACAAGAAAATATAAAAGTTCCAAAAATTAATTATTAAAGATCTGCGAAGAAAGTAGAAAAAGAAGGGATGATGTGATAAACAGACTGGGTAAGTCACATTTTTCTAAGCGACATGTACATAATGGGGAGAATGAACAATTTAAAATGTAAGGAATACAGAGAAAAAGAAAATATGGAACGTGTATTGATTACCTGTATGCTGCTGAAAGGGGGAGACTGGAGGGAAAATGAAGGAAGGCAGAGCTAAAATGAAGTCTAGAAGGAATATCAGAAACAGATGGGAGCAAAGAGTAAATCTGTATCATTATAAAAAACATTGTAGTATATCTACATAATACTAATTGAAAAACAATTTAGAGGTGGAAGGTGTGGAGTTACACAGTTATCCAGTAGGTGGCGGTATGCACCTTTAAGTTGTTTGCGAGCCGCTATTAAACCAAAGAAGAAGAAGTAGTTCATCATTCCAACATGGCGGCTTTGTTGAAAAGCGGAACTTCTGATAAAGTTACAAATGATGTTTTCAACTCTAACGATCAACTGCAGATAATAGGTTTGACTATATTTATTGTTATTTCTGTCAAATGTAATTATGCTGTAGTTTATAAGCCGCTGATAGCTTTAGCTTCATACGAATGTCGTTTAACTCTGACTTGTGTGGTTGTGAAATGTCCGCGAATGACAACCGAAACAACTTATTCTAGGACCCTTATCGATTTAAATGTTTAAAGTTTCTGCTTTATTTTAAAAAGTTAGCTATTTAAAACTTGTCACGATAATTATTGCTATTCGCATCAGGTGCTTTAATCGAGCAAACAGATAAGTTGCTCATTCCTCTCAGTTCATGTTTTCATTTTGTTAAACCGGAAAGTTAGATTAATAATAGCTGAAAATCCGGAAATATTTTTCATATAGACAGAAAATGCGTGCAGAAATGGTAAAGTGTGTTTAATGTGTTCATTTTGATTTGTTCTTGTCTGGTAGGTTATTTCAGTTCAGGCTGAATTCAGCTCTTAGACTTGTCAGTGAAAAAAGAGAGGCTTCTCTGTGTGTGTTTTCTACACTGGTTAAAAAAACTGATGAAAAACTAAATGTGTTGACAAGTTTTTCCTGACGTACATGTGTTTCAGTGGTTCCTTCAGATGTTCAGACGGTCCTGATTAAAGTAGAAGTTCCTGAAGAACCAAGGCCTGATGTGGACCAGCAGGATGCAGAACACCTCCACGTAAAGAAGGAAGAGGAGGAGCTGTGGACCAGTCTGGAGGGAGAGCACCTCAATGTGAAGGAG